ACTGGAAAGGAGCTATTTGCCTGGTTATATTTCAATCTAAAGCACTACATGTAAAATTCAGCCCTCACTAACGCAAGAGTCAAGCACTGATCCTAACAGCTAAATGCATTGCATAGAAAATCAACCTCGTTGCCAAATAATTAAATACATTACAAATCTCCACTTCTCTTTAAAATACTGACCTGATCCCTTACTAAGAAATGTTTACAGTGCAATAACGTCCAACAACCAACCAGGGAACCTCATCCATTAGTTGGTTGATATGGTTATGGTTCTGTGCATTCCATCATCATTTTTGGCACTGCTTTATAAAATAACTCTGTAAGAGTGTGTGTATATATACACTCACCAGACACTTTATTAGGTACACCTTGCTAATACCGGGTTGGACCGCCTTTTGCCTTCAGAACTGCCTTAATTCTTCATGGCATAGATTCAACAAGCTGTTGGAAACATTCCTCAGAGATTTTGGTCCATATTGACATGAGTTACAGTTGCCTTTCTATCTTGAACCAGTCTGCCCATTCTCTACTGACCTCTGACATCAATAAGGCATTTTTGTCCACACAACTGCTCACTGGATATTTTCTAATTTTTGGACTATTCTCTGTAAACCCTAGAGATGGTTGTGAGTGAAAATCCCAGTAGATTAGCAATCAGTTGTGTCACCATCAACCATGCCACGTTCAAAGTCACTTAAATCCCCTTTCTTCCCTATTCTTATGCTCTGTTTGAACAAGTCCTCTTCACACATCTACATGCCTAAATGCATTGAGCTGCTGCCATGTGATTGGCTGATTAGCAATTTGAGTTACCAAGCAATTGAACAGGTGTACCTAATAAAGTGGCTGGTGAGTGTACAATAGATAGATTGAATATCTCACACAAAAGGTAGGTAGTAGATTAGTAGAAAACATCCTATTACATAAATTACCTTTCAAACAAAGGGGGAGATTTACTAAAACTGGAACACTCCCAATCTGGTGCAGCTGTGCATAGTAACAAATCAGCTTCTAATTTCAGCGTGCTCAATTAACCACTTCCTGTCCGGACTCTTTTGCTCCCTTCCTGTCCAGGGCAATTTTCAGCTTTCAGTGCTATCACACTTTGAATGACAATTGCGCGGTCATGCAACACTGTACCCATATGAATTTTTTACCATTTTTTTGAGACAGATAAAGTTTTATTTTGGTGGTATTTATTCACCACTGGGATTTTTTATTTTTTTTGCTATGTAAATGAAAAAGCCCAAAAATTTTGAAAAAAAAAAAGTGCTTTTCTTATAAAATTTTGCAAATAAATATTTCATCATAAATCTTGGCCAAAATGTATTCCGATATCTTTTTAGTAAAAAAAAAATAAATACGCCAAAATAATTTAAAACCAAAAATTATAATTGTTAAACTTATTTTTACATTTTTTTTTTATATATTTTTTTTTTTGCATATTGTCACGATAGCAGTACAGTGTCACCATGGTGACACTGTACTACTTGTGGAGGGTGATGAAGATTTTTTTTTTTTTTTTACACGGATTGCTTTTACACCCATATAGGATGTAAAAGCAATCATTTCTCTTTCTCTGTCTGCATTCTTGCAGCCATTGAGAACTACTGAGTGAGCTGTGATTGGTCACAGCTTGTCACATGGTACAAGGCTGTTGTGAATTGCCTTGTACCATGTGACCTCTGTGATCATTCACAGATTTCACACGTAGTAAGCAATGATGTCACAAGTCACATCTTGCTTACTACTTTGCATGTGATCACTGATTGGCCAATCAGTGATCACATGATCGGGACCTCGTACAGAGGTCCTGTCAGACGATCGGTGTTTCACTGTGTCCAGAGGACACAGCGGGCACTGGATCGCGGTGCTGCACACTCCCAGGGAGTGCGCACAAGCAGAGTGCGGGGAGGCCGTTTATAAACGTCCGCCCGACCCTGCACTGCCACCATCCGGACGTTTATATACAACGGCCGGATGGGAGGTGGTTAAGCTTTGGCAATAAAACCTGGAAGCCGATTGGTTTGTATGCAGAGTTGCAGCAGATTTTGCACTCTCCAGTTTTAGTAAATAGTAAAAGGTTCTACCCAGCAGGTTCTACAACTTTTACCTTGTCAAATATTCCAAGTATATAATGAGTTTATACCTTAACCCAGTATTATTCCCTACTCACCTTGAAGTGTTTGTTCACCTTTACAGAAAAAAGTAAAAGGCGAACACCATGCACTCTCCAGGCCCACTGTACTTATCCCTCTTCACTTCAGCGAAGAAGGAGATGATCAGGGATTTCAAATCCACAGACCACTAGTAAAGCTGCATGAGCACGGATAGCTTAGCATCCCTGGAGGTAAGTACAGCAAGAACCGGGGATTGGGGGGTGGGCGCTAAAGGGTGTATGGTGTAAGTTTGCCTTTACATTTTTTACTGAAAAGACGAATTAACACTTTAAAAATTGCCAAATTCACTAGTTTTGTTACTATGTTCTCCCGATGTATCCTAAAAGTGCTGCTGTCACTTCAAAGTCCATGTTTCACCCAGACAACATAGGTAACATGAGCAAAATCTAGGCAGATGGCTACAGTATATGTTAGTCTCTCCCTTCCATGTTTTCTGACTTTGTAAAAGCAAGCAGCATCTGTGTGGAATTCAGTCACTAAATATGTCAAAGGATGTGGTTCACAATGTGCTTAAGATAGTCTAACGCAGGCCCAGAGCAAAACGCAAAACCTTACCACACTATAATAATCCTTACTTATGTTTGTTTTCCGTCTTCTGACATTTCTATTTCCAGGACACGGATTTCCTCATCAACGTCTTTTACTTCTCATTTACCTATCCAGTTTAAGTCTTTGTAACACTATCAAAAAATACTGAATGTATTTCTATTATTCTTTGCCAGTTGTTTGAAAGACTGTAAACATGAGCTCACATTCAAAATTTATTGCAGCCCTCTTTCTTAATTTATATTATGCAGCAGCAGTTCTTGTTTTCCTTTTAAATGGCCTTAAAATGGTTCTAAACCTTTACATATACCCAGTGAAGTGACTGGCCTCAGGTGATACACAGAAATGAAACAAACCCTTCTACATAAGTTGTACCTGTCTATCTGCAGTCTTATCTACATCCATTCAAAGTGCTGAATTTATAAAGCTTGACTGATACTTCAGAAAAAAGGGGGCAGAGAGCTGGAATTACACATTTCAGAGCTTAGAGAGCTGACTGGAGGAAAGAGACACACCCACTTCCACACAGCTCACAAAAACAGAGCTGAGACTGTCAATCTGCTGGAGGTCCCTCCTGTCACCATTTTTCTGTTGGTGTCAGGAAAACTTGTCAAAAGGGATTCATGCTGATAGCAGAGGAATGAGGCAGAAGACAGAAATGACATGTTGTGTATTTCTGTCTGCATAATTGAGACAAGGACACACTATAGTGGGATTTACTTTGTTCATATTTCACATCTGGGATTTACAACCATTTGGTATCATCTTCATTATTTACTTAAATTTCAGTGTCAAACTTTAGCTAAACAGAACAACCCAATACCAAGAATTGTACAAATACAGTTTATCAATCAAAGACTGGACGTAGAACAAAATGTGAGCTTTCTGAATTTATATCTTGCTATTTTAGTTATAGTTTGCATTGAAATTATTTGTATCATGCAACAATCTTGTCCCATTTAAGGCCAGATAAAGCAGGGTAATGCTAGTGTTTTGCAAGCTTAATTTCAAAGTCAAAGGGATCCTTTAATGCTTTACAAAGAAAAGGCAATGCAGCAGTCCCTTGGGGCAGAAATCAGAATAATGGGAATCACATTCATGTTGTTGCAGTGAGGAAGGCATCCTGTGTAGCACTGAAACATCAACTATTTGTTTTAACATTTTTCTAAAACATTCTCAAAGGATTGCTGTTTTTTCCTTTTACTTGTGGAATATGCCGCACCACTACTTTCATGCACCCAACCTTACATAGTGCAAAATTGAGGGGTTACCTCTGAGGTTGTTTAATTTCATCTTTTAAAAAAAATCACGTGTTTTGCAAAAAAAAAAAAAAAACAGATGAAACATTAAAACTAGTAAAAAAACAGAATATGGGGCTGAAATGTAAAAGATTTGTTTGGGGAATAACTAAATTAGTCTAAGCTATTATCAAAAAAGGACAAAAAAACAGGAAGCTCTGCATAGCAGTGATGGACACTTTTTGAGAAAAAGTACCACAGATTTCAGTAACAGTTGACTGGTGAACACAATCTGTATACTGGTTTACCAGCCATCCAGACAGCTATAGTGATCACTTAAATACACCTAGTTCCTCACCTGTAAGTAACAGCAAACGTTCACTTATTGGGAACTGCGTAAATGTAGGTATTGCTGGAATTTGCTAATTAAATTAAAGTGGAACTAAACCCATCAATTTTATGGTTAAAAAAAAAATAATAATTTTTCGTCATGATGGTAAGGAGGCTAAGATGGCAGCCTCCTTGGTTGAAAAAGGACAGGAGGGTTTAGTTGTACTTAACATTAAAAGCATTAACTTCCCCTCATTTGGAACCTCAGTTGTCTTTATTGATGTGATACATAAAGTTCTACACAAAAGATACTATTTAACTAACAAAAGTATTCTACTACAGGAAACTTTTCATTCAGCCTCGAAATTACTGATTTCTGTTTTAAAAAGCCAGTATCAGGGAAGAAGTGGTGGTAAAAAAAAATGCAAGGGTGGATTTAACCAATCATTTTTTGAGTGACGGTGCATCTTTTGCAAACATATTTTTTTAAAAAGGTATTCTCCTTTTCTCATTTCAAAAAGGTGCATCAGGAGAGCTTATTATTCTCCCAGTATGACAAAGCTAAAACTTTAATGTCCTATGTTTTACTTACAGACACCTCATTAGGATTGCCTACATACAAATCATCTATTCTGTTTAAATGGCATAGAAATACGATAATGCCTTTGATGTGTTCCACAGACATGAGATGATGCTGTTATTACCTCCATTGAAATTCTCCGATGTACTCTATTCCTGAGGCAAACACCTGTTGGTGACTGGACTTCATCAGATGATGTTCCCGAGGCCTGGTCACTTTCTCCGTCAGATCCCATTTTCAGGTTTTCATGCACAATGTCTGGAAAAGAAAACCACAGGAATTTATGACATGGCCATTACAGGAATCACCATTATCCTGCAAATAAAGACATGTTTGCAAATACTCGCTCAGTCAAATTAACAATCTTACTCCGGTTGGGCGCACAAAAAAGGAGTGCACTTTAACTACTATTTTATCTTTATCTACTTTGTAGATTCAAAGAAATCTAAGGTCACAACATGCACTTTTTTTTCTTTATAACATCAGCATTGTTATAGCAATACAAAGAAAACTTATTCTGACAATCCAATATGAGCTTACTTGAAAAATCTCCTTTCATGTTGTGAACGCTACCTGTCTGCTGGCCGTCTCTTTCCACAACTTCCTGGATTCCCTGCATGCTTGGCAGCTTCTAGTCTGCTGTTTAGGTTCAATTTCTAAGGAATACATATCCTACAGTACCTTGTTCCCTGCAATCAGTGATTCCTGTACTGCATTCTAAATTCCTGCTCTCAACATCACTGAAGTCCAGAAGGCAGGCTCCATGAATACTGTGACACAGCAGTGCCTACAGGATATAGCAAATAGGTGTCACAGAATTCAAGGAAGTAAGTTGACAGACTTCAAGATTGATTTAATAGGAGTAAGCTAAAAAGAAACAAAACATAATGTTGGGCTGAATATATGATTTTACATTTAGACAATAGATAAGGGAAATTAAAGTGTTACTAAACCCAGGACCCTGCATTCACTATATCCAACAGAGCACTGGTTAAAGCTTGTAGGAGTTTTCTTTCTGCTCTAGGAGGATGCAAAACCCCTGACCTCTGTCTGGACAGTGCTGATTGGCCCTGTGCTGAACACATGCACTCTCCCAAGTTAAAAAAAACCCTCTCTAGCAATACACACTAAACTGAGCATGTGCAGAATGGCTACAGGTTCAGTCTGTCTTATCAGGACGTGGACATTTGAACAAAAGGAAGGGCAGAGAAGAAAGGATCAAACAGGCTTTTTACAAAATGCAGTGGATTAACCCCTTAGGTTCCAGTGAGTATAACAAACATGCTTTACTGCATGTACAGACAGATGTTACTGTTGTGAGTAAGTAACAGGTTAAAGCTTAACTTCAGAAATAGTTTGTATTGTATACTTACACTGGTTCAGCTTGGCACAATGTGAGTATGTATATCTCAAACATGATGGACACCTGGTAATCATTGTAGTGATAATGTAGTGCAGTGTAATAGTAATTGGCACTACTACAGTGCTCCCGGATTCCTGGATGAAGGCATTAACATGCATGTTTGGTTGAGCCAAGCATGCAAATGTATAAAGCACTCTTTTCGGTATTTGGAAGATTTGCTTTCCTGAAGCACAGGTGTGATCTGACTATAATCTATATGTAAACCATCTATATACACTCACCGGCCACTTTATTAGGTACACCTTGCTAGTGCTAAGAAAATATCCCCCACACCATTACACCACCAGCCTGAACGTTGATACAAGGCAGGATGGATCCATGTTTTCATGCGGTTTACGCTAAATTCTGACCCTGCCATCTGAATGTCACAGCAACCAATCTAATAAAAATGAATATGCAGCGCTATAAAACATATATCCTATAAAAGTAAATAGGTATAAACATATAAGTGAGCGCTGATATGAGGGTAGTGCAGTGAAATTGCGTCTATGAATGACGTAACAGTAATAACGTGACAGTGCTAGTGAGTCCAATCACAAAATAATGATGTCCATAATGCAAAGTGATCCATGCTTCGTGACCATCAATACTCTCTGTGAGGAAGTTTCGGACTCGTAGCCTGTTCTGAGGTGAAGGTGGAGAAGGGACCCTGGATCCTCGTGTCTGCTAAGGTGCAGGCAGCCTAACAGAGAAGTCCTCCATGTGAGCAGTGCAGCAGCTGGCAGTGACCAGCACCGGAAAACCGGGAGTGAGCGCAGGGCCGGAGAAGTTGTGAAGTGAGGCTTGATTATTGCGAGCCTCACAAGGTGGAGCCATCTGGGAGTGTGAAGGCAATACTTAGAGCTGCCTGATGAGTCTGTGAGTGGAATGAGACCCACGAGTGTGAGTTATCATCTTGAGTGTCCACTGCTGAGCCTGGTGACCCCGCAGCCCCAGACCAGATCCCAATGACCCCATTATAAGGATATACATATAAGGCGCATATTATATGTACTTCTGGTAAGTGCATCACTTCACCAGATTTTGGCACCAGTATTGATGGTCACGAAGCACGGATCACCTTGCATTATGGACATCATTATTTTGTGATTGGACTCACTAGCACTGTCACGTTATTACTGTTATGTCATTCATAGATGCAATTTCACTGCACTACCCTTGCGCTCATATCAGCGCTCACTTATATCATATGTTTATATCGATTTACTTTTATAGGATATATGTTTTTTTTTAGAGCTGCATATTCATTTTTATTTGTTATTTTAAGGTGTTGAGGTTTTACCTTTTTATGCTAGCTGCTTCCTCTTTTGCTTAAAAACGTTGCGCTCACATTTGCTCTTTATATACACAGCAACCAATCTGCCACAACTGCCGTTCACTGGATATTTTCTCTTATTCGGAGCATTCTCTGTAAACACTAGAGATGGTTGTGTGGGAAAATCCCAGTAGATCAGCAGTTTTTGAAATACTCAGACCAGCCCATCTGAAACCAACAACCATGCCACGTTCAAAGTCACTTAAATCCCCTTTCTTCCCCATTCTAATGCTCAGTTTGAACTTCAGCAAGTCATCTTCACCACGTCTACATGCCTACATACATTGAGTTGCTGCCATGTGATTACCTGATTTGCAATTTGTGTTACCAAGCCATTAAACAGGTGTACCTAATAAAGTGGCCGATGAGTGTATGTGTAACTAACCCCCTCACTCCATTCAGCTACTGGGAGTGACGAAAGCTAGCTCTGCATAAGCTCCAAATCATGACTTGGAAATTACACAGAGCTGAGGACTCTTTCCACTCCACTATGTGACAGTGCTCACTTTAGCTAAACAGAGTGTTGGGGGGAGGGCAGGAGAAAAGATAAGTATAAGCCCTGCGGCAAGTCCACCACAAAAGTGAACATGTTGCTTTGCCATGTATGAGCAAACCAAAAAAGTCCCTTTTAGGCAGTTTAGTTGTACTCACCAGTTAATATATACATTAGGCTTCAGTTTGGAATAAACAAAAACCTATCCATGTCACATACATATAAATCATCTCCTGATGGTGGAAACTAAGAAAAGCTTAAAGTCTGAGAAGATCATTACTTATAATTTGAGAAGACCCTTTGAAGATCCTTTTTACCCATGGCTATCCACTCTACAATACATGGAAGGAAGGCTCTTCATAATGCTTCCTCAACAGCAGCACATAATAGATTATTTTCCTTAACATTTGATATTTCTACATTTACCATTTGTTTTCTGAGATTACCAGTTCATAGCATCCTAACATACCAAACACGGATTAGCATCCAGATTAGCTCTTTAATGGAAGACATCTCTTCTGGCTAGACTAGCAGAACTTCGTTGTAGATATACCTTTTCCAGTCTTTATCATATGAATTTAGTAGACCTTGAGCAAAATGTCAGCTATCAGTGGGTATTAAACACACTAAGAACCTTTGACTGAGGTCAATTTATTTTGCACAACAAGCAGCAAAGTGTTATTGCTCATCTTGAACTATAAATGGATCTTCTGTAAGTGATGGAATTACAATTTTTTGCAATTACAGCACTGACGCTTCCCATGGAACTGGACTTTTATATAAATGATTGCTGTTGTGTGCCACACAGATTCTGCTTATGTTTGCAAAAGCCTTTTCATAAAGCTGCTAAATTAGTTTAAAGAAAAGAAGAAAAATGCAACATAGAACAAGTGGCTCTTGTTTTATGAGCATAATGAAGTAATGAAATGCCTTGTCTGTGCTGTAAAACAAGCCAATAGTCAAAGAATTCCTAATCACATACAGTATACTGAGGAGCAATCAGCATACAGTAGAGCTCTTAAAGGGGTACTGCAGATTACTCCAAAATTAAACTGGTAATGAAGATCCGCTTGTATGCAACATGTGCAGCAAGTGTTTGCTCAGTGTGCTGCCTACAGACCTAGCTGAGTGTTCATGAAAAAAGGTGGTGGGACCATGATATGCTGAGTAATCTTGTCAGAACAATACAGAGGTGAAAGGGAAAGAGGAGAGTAAAGCAGCCCATACATTACAGATATGTTATTAGTTAAAAATAATGACTTGATCCCTGGGGAACCCTCCCCGCTGAGCTATTGTATTCTGACAGCGGGAAGAATTCCCGGTGTCAAAATACACTGATCAGCACTGCCAGCTATAACCCGTCACGATGATCGAGTGGGAAAAATCCGACAGTTTGGTTGTACAGAATTTGATCAGTAGATTGACCTCTTTACAACCAGCCTACCCATACATGGATTTAAATTTGGCCAATCCCTGTAAACTGTCCAAATTTTGATCCATGTATGGCCATATTAATGCAAACAGAAGCTAGCAGTGGGGTTATGTAGGAGGGATGCAATCAAAATTAGACTTCTAGTCTGTCCAGTCTACATTAGGTTGGGAACTTTTCCTGCCAATGACAGACCTTTTCTCTGCACTGCATAGTATTATGAACCAATTAAAAGCCCTAACTGCTTTAAGTACATCAAAACTGGAATTAGAATAAATCACCTATGAGTATATCTTTAATTTCACCAAACTGAAAATGTATAAAGAACAGCAGTGTATGTTGATTTAACTTTTTAATTTAAATTAATGAACACATTCAGTTTTGATATGCTGTGTTAAAATAATCTATTCATTGTGATTATAGTGTATATGCAAATTAAACAGAAAAACACAAATCTGCTTTCAGTTATCTCACTGACATACAGTAGATATCACATACAGTAATAGTGTAAAAACTCAAAGGCTGATGAATCATCAACATAATTTATCAGATCCTAATTTCTTTTTACTTTATCTAGATAAACAAGGAATCCTAACCC